TGTGTAACATTCCAAAGACCAGACTGGCCTTGAACTCAGAGATCCATCTGCCTCAGCTTCCCAAGTGCTAGGATTAAAGGTGTATGCCACACCGCCTGGCACACTGTCTTGTTCTTATGTGACAGGGTCTGTCACTAAATCTGGAGCTAGGCTGGTGGCCAGCAAGTTCCAGTGGTCCTTTTGTCTCCACCTCCTACAGTCCTGAAGTTACAAGCACACACAGCCATCCTTGGCTTTTTATGTGGGTACTTGGGGATTTGAACTCAGATCTTCATGCTTTCATAGCATGTACTTTTTAACTTCTGAGCCTTGTCCCCACTCCTTCAATCATCTTTGCAGATCTTGTGGCAGGCAGACTGAAGAAGCCTCTAGAAAAGGGTCTCATTGTGATCATATTCCACCATTGGCACCCTGATTCTGTGGGTTGGTTACTGACAGGATGATGATATCACTGGGCATCCATGGTCTACACAGACCTAGAGTCTAGATGCTTATGTGACCAAGTTGTGTTTCAATATATTTTGAAACAAGAGTCATAACTCCCCTTGTTCTTACTAGAACACTTGCTCCGCTTTTGCATGGTTGAATAGTGGGGTTGAGCTTTCTGCAAAACAGTAAAACAACAGAGTGAAAAGGGCAGCACTCTGGGTCCATTCCTTTCTAACGCACTCCTGCATCTCTAGGCTAAGATTGTACGCAATGCCAAGGACACAGCACACACCCGGGCTGAGCGGAACATTCTAGAATCTGTGAAGCATCCCTTCATTGTGGAATTGGCCTATGCTTTCCAGACATGTGGCAAACTCTACCTCATCCTGGAGTGCCTCAGTGGTAGGTGTCTGGGATAGGCTGAGTAGAGGGTGGCAGGGGCCAGCATGGGGAACACTGGGGATTTAGGGAATCCTGAGAGATGGCTAGGAGGCTCACACACCATGCCTGGCCATGTGTCCATCTGTCTGTCCCTTCATTTGTTCATTCAGCAAACATCCATCCAGTGCCTAGTGTTTGTGGGGTATATGGAGATAGTGGGAGTTTGTATAGATATCCAGAGGTAATTTCATCCAGTTTTTCTACCTTTCCTTTCCTGCCTGTCCCCTGTGTGCCAGACACTCAGTCAGGTCCCCATCTAGCTGCATCTTTCTTCATCTTGGAAGTCTCATGGATAGTTACTGTTTCTGTAAGGTCTGTTTTTTGTTTGTTTGGTTTGTTTGTTTGTATGTTTTGAGGCAAAGTCTGCTTATATGTAGCCCCGGCCTGCCTGGAACTCACTATGTAGACAATGCTGGCCCTGAACTCAGGAGATCCACCTTGAATTCAGATCCTCAAACTCAGGAGATCTGCCTGTCTCTTGTGCTGAGTGCTGGGATTAAAGGCATGTGCCACCACTACACCTATTGTTTTGTCTTTTTGAGACAGGGTCTCCATACATAGCATTGGCTGGCCTGGAATTTATCACATAGAACTCACAGACACTCCCTGCCCCTGCCTGGGATTAAAGGTGTGTGCCAGCACACCCGGCAGGTCTGTTTCTAAACTAATTTTGAGGGTTTAGCTCACCTGGGTTCTTGTATATCCTCCACTAATTGAAAAGGTCATCTTCCTCGAGCATGCGTCTCTAACTACCCAAACAAAGCCTTGGTCACACCATTGCTTACCAAGGGTGACTGAGGCCTGGTCTTTCTATCTGCTTCCCCATACCAGCTGAGCCCTACAAGCTTCTACCTGCATCCTCTTCACTATATCAACACCCTAAAAGCCACACCTTCACTGCCCTTTTTCCATCATTGTGTTGAGATTGACTTCCTGTGCCCTCCACCATGGGGCTCTGTGGTGAAGTTCTCAGAGCAATTCCCTGTGCCTGGCATCCTAGAGCAGTGTGCACATGTCTGTCTCCCCATTAGACTGAGCATCCTGAGGGCAATGGCTGGGTCTCCTCAACTCTGCCCCAGCTTCAGCCAGCACAGGGCCAGGCACCGAGTGAGTAGGCGACGGTAGATGTTTGCTGATTGAATTGAGTCCCCACGGCAGCTCTGGGAGGCAGGTAGGGTGGGATCTACAAGTCCCATTTTTCTCTAGAAGAAACTGACAGTCAGCAAAAGGGCTGGGCCTGAGTGCACAGATGCGAATGTACTTGTCTCACAGGCGGGGAGCTCTTCACACATCTTGAGCGAGAAGGCATCTTCTTGGAAGACACAGCATGGTGGGTCTCTGGGGGGCTTGTCCTTGCCTTCACCCCTACCTTTGCCCTGCCTTTCTTTACTTTGTCCTGTCTCTGCAGCTTCTATCTGGCTGAGATCACACTGGCCCTGGGCCATCTCCATTCCCAAGGCATCATCTACCGGGATCTCAAGCCTGAGAACATCATGCTCAACAGCCAGGGTGAGCATGTTGCATGCATGCTCACACACACATCCTCTGTCTTGGGTCTTCAGTGCAGGCTGGGGAGCCCACAAGTAGGTCTGGGCCATATTTCATCCCATGTCATCCCTTTTAACCATCTTCCTCAGGCCACATCAAACTGACAGACTTTGGACTCTGTAAAGAGTCCATCCATGAGGGAGCTGTCACCCACACCTTCTGTGGCACCATTGAATACATGTAAGTAACACCTGGCTGGCCCAGGGTCTGAGAATAAAGGAAGAGGCCTTGCCCTTACTGACAGTTCACCTGCCTCCCAGGGCCCCAGAGATTTTAGTGCGCAGTGGCCACAACCGGGCAGTGGACTGGTGGAGCCTGGGAGCCCTGATGTACGACATGCTCACTGGATCGGCAAGTCCAGCTCCTTGGGAGGAGGATGGGTGTTGGGGAGACCCCCCCCCTAGGCTGGGGCAGGACTGGGTGGGAAGACCCCCGAGGCTGCTCTCACCTTCTGCCTCCTCCAGCCGCCCTTCACCGCAGAAAACCGAAAGAAAACTATGGATAAAATCATGAAAGGGAAGCTGGTGCTGCCCCCCTACCTCACCCCGGATGCTCGGGACCTTGCCAAAAAGGTGGGGCTCCCCCCTGTCCAGGGACAGGTTTCCATCTCTTCCCCTACGCCCTATCGGCAATTCTGTACATATTCTTGACTGTCTCTAACCCCTGGGGAAGGCCAGGCTCCCATCCAGTTTGCCTTTGGGAATGATAGGAACACTGGCTTTGGAGTTCAAGTCCCTGAGTTCAGGCCTGGGTTCTGGGAGCCTGACCACTGCCACTGAGCAGTCCTGGATCCGTGTCTTCATCAGCAGGGTGTTCTTGTGAACTAACCCTGTTCCATCAGAAAGGCCATCACTAGCCTCTTAAGGGAATGGGAGTGCCACAGAGATCCTAAGCCCTCTAAGGAGATGGCCGTGAGCAGGAACTTTGCCAAGGCTTCATGAAGAGCACACTTAACCCAACCGAGCTATGAAAGTATTGAGGGGTTCAATGGGCAGAACCTATACCAGAGGTCCCAGTGCCTATACCATACCTTTATTCTGCTTGCCTTCTCCCCATTCTGGAGGCTGGGCACACACCAGCAGTTGCTCCCCACCCTCACCTCTTCTCTGCTTCGGCAGTTTCTGAAGCGGAATCCCATTCAACGAATTGGGGGTGGCCCAGGAGACGCTGCTGAGGTGCAGGTGAGTCTGGGATTATCCTGAGGAGTTGGGGTGAGAGGATGAAGTGGGCTACAGCCGGGAGCTCGACAGGGTGAATCACTGACGTGTTCCTGGGAACCATCCACCCTCAGAGGCACCCTTTCTTCCGGCACATCAACTGGGATGACCTCTTGGCCCGACGTGTGGACCCTCCCTTCAGGCCGAGTCTGGTGAGTATCTGGAGGTCCTTTTGTCCCCATGGCAGATGGAAACCCTGCACTTTGGACCCTCCTAAATTCCCCACATGGATCTTGCCACAGCAATCAGAAGAGGACGTGAGCCAGTTTGATACTCGCTTCACACGGCAGACGCCAGTAGATAGTCCAGACGACACAGCCCTCAGTGAGAGTGCCAACCAAGCCTTCCTGGTGAGGGCCTGGGGTTTATGGGGACCAGAGCAGGGATTATAGCTAGGGACTGGAAGTGCCAAGCATCACCTGACCTGGCCTTTCCCCACAGGGCTTCACATACGTGGCACCTTCTGTCCTGGACAGCATTAAGGAGGGCTTCTCTTTCCAGCCCAAGCTGCGTTCCCCCAGGCGCCTTAACAGCAGTCCCCGTACCCCCATCAGGTACTCAGGAGCAGGGCAGGCATGTAGCAGGGGCGGGGCTGTCTAGCACAGACCAGTACCTTTGGACTACTCTTGCCAAGCTCTTTTTTAGGGCTAGCCTCAAGCTTCTGCCTACTGTGGGACCCCAGTCCCTGTACGTCTGTCACAGGGGCTACTAAAGTGGCAGTTTGTGGACCTACTGCCAGTATTCCTGGCTAAGCTTAGGAAGCTCTGACTCTGCCTTGGTTTCTCCTGCAGCCCCCTCAAGTTCTCTCCTTTTGAGGGGTTCCGGCCCATCCCTGGTCCACCAGAGCCCATGGAGCCATCTCTACCTCCACTCCTGCCACCACCATCATCACCACCACCCACAAGCACTGCCCCTCTTCCCATCCGTGCCCCCTCAGGGACCAAGAAATCCAAGAAGGGCCGAGGGCGCCCAAGGCGCTAAGAGAATAGAGGCCTGCGCCCTGGCAGCTGTGAGAACCTGGCTGCCTCCAACCTGGGTATATTTGGGAGATGAAAGTGTCTTGTGGGGTGGTTGAGCCCAAAAATCATGTACATGGAGGACTGCAGCTTGCAGCCAGTGAGAACAGTTCCCAGTGTCCATTCCATCAGAAGGAACTTCACCGGTGCCCTTATAGAATTAAAGGACTGAATCATGACAGAGTGGCTTTTGCTGGGCTCCAGGACACAAGAGTGGCCCATTTTGGGAGAGAAGGGGATGTGTGTATGCTAAAAGGCTACAGACCTCAAGACTTAAGAAGTTTTATTTTCAACGTCTGCCCAGTGCCTGTGGTGGTGGGGTCACACTCTGGGGAAATGGTCGGGGTGGCAGTCTGAGAAGCTGCATGTGAGGGTAGGGTGACGAAGGTCCAGGGCGGTTTGTGTTTCATCATGACAACATGGAAAGAGAGATAGTCAGAGGCTGGGGCATGGACAGGACAAGCTGGCTCCTACAGTGCTGTGACATGGAGGCCCTGGCCCCCTGCTTTTCCGGCACTGTCATCCCAGGCTGCGCTGCCTGAAAAGGCATGCAGGTCACTCAGAAGTGCCTCAGCGCTGCTGCCGGAGCCCACAGGACCTTGAGAGCTGAGGCCCAGGCCCGCTTCACTGTCTGTGTCCTGTGTTTCTGGGGCCTGCTTTGCTTCATCTCCTGCTTCACACTGCTGCTCCTCTTCCTGTGGGTCAGCTTCCTCAGGGACACCACCCATCATCATGACATTCTCCTGCTGCCCTGGGAATCCCAGCTCAGTGCGGATCCAAAGCCAGCGGCCTGCAGGGCTGGTCCAGAACAGGCGGCGGGTGTGGCCCCACAAAGCAGCACCCAGGCGAGCTGGGTGGTAGTAGCCCCCGGAGGCACGGCTGAGGCGACGCCAGGCCAAGGCCAGGGCAGTGACAAGCAGCAGCAGGAGCAGGAACAGCAGGATGATAGTGACAGCACTGGAGCTTGCGCCATCCTCTGTGCCTACCCCAGAGGCCAAGGCCCCTGGCAGGGCTAGCAGCACCCTAAATCTGAGGATACCAGGCAGAGCCTGTGGAAGACAGTAGGGAGGAGGAGTGAAACCAACTATATCTCTGACACAGTCCTCAGTTGCCTCAGGCAAAATAGGGACAGTCAAGCAGAAAGTCCCCAGCCCTTATTTGGTCAAGGCCTTGCCCTAGTGTGATCACCTAAACTCAACCTTGCAATTCACTTGTCACTGCCCCTGGCCTGCTGCTGCCTGAAGCCTGTGCACTGGCTGTCCCTAGGCTCAGATGCTGTTCTCCCGAAGCCTCAAGGCGACCTACTTGCCATGGCCTAGGCCTTGCTGATGAGGCCCTACCAGACCTCTACAGCTAACTAGGCTATGATTTCAGCCCACCCACTCAGCAACCTCAGGTCTCTTAATTACTCTTTTCCCACCAAATCCCACACCAGAAGGGGGAAAATAAACTATATTCTGCTGCCTTTCCCACCAGAATAAGTTCCTGGGTGATGGGATTTTTTTTGGGGGGTAGCACCCAAAACCATGGTGGCATGTCAATGGACATTAGTTGGATGGGTTAAAATGGCTTGCCTGGGCAGTGGAGGGGCCGAAGAGGCAGGTGGCTCTCTGGAGCCCATGACAGAGGTATCTAGACCAACCCAGAGGTTGACTGGTCCTAGGATGGGGGTCTTTGAAGCCCCTCCTCCCAACCATGGGGCTGCCCCAGCTGCAGAGTTTCCGTTCAGCTCCCCATTCTGCCCCAGAGGGCCTCAGGCGTGCAGGGCCATGGCTCAGTTTGGGGCAGCATGTGTAGCTATCAGAGGAAGCCTGCGGTTGGAACAAAGCAGGTGGAGGGGGGCGGTAGCAGGGTTGGGGGAGGGGTGCTGGGTACAAGCCTCCCCTAGCACACCCAAACTCAGCTCATGAAGGGACCAGATGAGAGACTAACCCAAGGATCTTGGAGTAAGGCTAGACTGAGTGAGGAGGTACTGCAGGACCTACCCTGAATTTTAGAGAACCCAGCTCTGAGGTGAGGGCTAGGTTCTAACCCATGTTAGTTCTAGGCCTTGCTACCCCAGGTCTCATTTGAGGAGACCCTTCTTTACCTCCCGGAGCCTCAATATTCCATCCCCAGCTCACTGTGCCCCAAGAACCCAGAGGGCTCCACAGCTCACCATTAATCCGATGGCCTTTGCACGGGTACCAACCTCTGTCTCCGGCTGTGTTTAGTGAGAAGTGAGCTCCGCAGAGCTCTCAAGTATAGCAGCTAGTTACTGACACTTCCGTTTCCTGCTAGAAACACCCCACCCACTCTTGCCTATCACAGGACCCTCATAGGGTCTCAGCCTCTCAGGATCACCCAGACCCAGACCAAATCTTCCCAGGCCTCTTTAGGTGAGGCTGTGGTCACATGTGAGCAGAACTCCAAAGGGAGGAAGTATGCATCTAGCTCAAAGCAAGACATCCACCTATGTTTCTACCTCTGGAGTGCTGGGACTACAGGTGTGTACCTGGCTAGACTTTACAAAACAAGAGAATCTCTGAGTTCAAGGCCAGCCTGGTTTACAAAGCGAATTCTAGGACAGCCACTGCTGTTGCACAGACAAACCTAGTCTTGAAAAAAACAAAACTAAGCCAGGCAGTTGTAGGATCTATCTTTAATCCCAGCATTCTGGGTGGGGGAGGGGACGAGGGGAGGCAGGTGAATCTCTTGGAGTTCCAGGCCACCTTGGTCTACAGAGTGAGTTCCAAGACAGCCAGGAAAACAAACAAAAAAGCCAATTGTGTGCATATTCCTGCACATGAGGGGTATGTATGAAGGTTAGATACCTCTTCTGTGGGTTCCAGGGGTCAAGTTCAGGTCAAGCTTGCTTAGCAAGTGATTTTATTCACAAACCAATCTCTCACACCTGTCCGTAGCCTTTTTACCTGAGCTTCTCTGCATGATGGAATTTAGGTACACAGGGGCTACTTTCCACATAAAGTTTGCAGTTTCCCTTCCTAGTACTACACCCCACCCCCTCCACAACACCAGGTCAAACATGGCTTTAGAAAGAGCATTTTATTTAGAATGAAAATATAGAACTGTCTCTGCTGCTTTCTCGGGGGAGGGGAGAGTGGGCTGGGCAGGTCGAGAAGATGGTCCCTTAAAGAACTTGGGAGTTTGCCTTGGTACAAAAAAATCTTCCAAAAGCCAGGTGGTGCTTCCAACCTGGGTCCCAGGTTGTGGAGAGGTGTAAACTGGTCATGATCTGCCCCAGAGGCACTAAGCAGCAAACTGCCTAAACTGCCTGGTGTGACCTGGCCACAGAAGCTAGGTGAGAAGGGGTGGAGGAGAGGAGGAGGCAGTGTTGGGTGCAGGTCCCTGGTGGTCCTATGAATCGCCATTCTCCATGCGGCCCAGCTGTTCCTCTAGGCGGCTAATACGGTCCCCCTGTTCCTTGACCAGCACTCGAAGTGCCCGGAGCTCTTGCATCACCTCTTGTAGTTTCCCAGATTCCTGCAAAGGCATACAGAAGTCAGAGGCCATCAGTCATAACCCATCCCTATGGTAGAGGCCTGAGACCCCACCAATTGGGCAGCACCCCCAAATGCAGGACACATACACCAGCCCCAGCAAAGGTGCCACTGAAAACATCAGAAATTGTGGTAGCTGTGGAGGCTCCAGGGCGGCTGGAACTGGCAGGCCGACTGTCCGATAGCACATTTCGCCGGCTGACCTTCAGATCCCGTTGTTTACTGGGCATATATGCTTCCCGTAGTGAGATCAGGATCGGATCAGCATCCTGCCCGCTCACCCAATCCTCTGCCTCAAGAGCAGCCTCAGGTCCAGCTGTATCAGGATAAAGATCATCCTGGAAGAGGTCGGACTGCACACCAGGTAGGAGAGGTCAGAATCAGTTGAGGGCCCTATCAAAGGTCTCACATCTGGTCTCTGACTGCATCCTCAACACCCTCCTGACTTGTACTTTCTTTTGGTTTTTTGAGACAGGGTTTCTCTGTGCAGTCCTGGCTGTCCTGGAACTCACTCTGTAGACCAGGCTGGCCTCTAACTCGCAGAGTTTTGCTTCCCTTCTGCCTGCTGAGTGCCGGGACCTCCACCACCCAGCTCTGACTTGTACTCTTACTAACCCGTCCTCCAAAGGCCTGATCCCCAGAGACTTTCAGAGCTCAACTCTCCCTTTTCACTTTCTTTCTGAACGTTCTCATCGAACTCTTGCCTGATCTTAATGGGCACAGCCCTTGCTGGCACCCTCTTCAGCAGACCACAAGGGCCAGCTATATGGCTTTGTAAGTCCTGTGAGCCACATCTGTGCCCACAGATGGATTGTGGGCTTTGCTCCAGGTCATGCCTGGCACAGAGTCTGTGAACACTAGCTGGAAGACAGTGGGAATGTGTTCTAGGCTCCTAGCTGGGCATCTGAGGCCAAGTCATATCCCTGACACCCTGCTCTTAAATGCCTGGACTCTGTCACTGTAGGGCCTCAGCTCACCCTGTGTCATCCCTCCAACTCATTTGCTAGCCTCACCCCTTGCCCTGGTGAGGCCCTTCTGCTAGAGAAGGGAGGAGTGGGTGACTCCTTGACCTGGTGTGGCCCTTCTGCTAGAGAAGGGGGTGGGTGGGTGGACAGCGTTACAGCGGCCTCACCTTTCTTGGCACGGTCATGACTATGGGTTCACACTTGCGTTCATGGAGTTTGTAGAACCTAGAAAAGGAAGGGGAGCCATGGTGGGACCCCAAAAGCTTTTCAGTTTCCCCACCTGGACATATCCACAGGTTAGCCTGAGACCTACGTTCAGGCTGACTTGTGCTCATGGCCTCTCTGTCTCAAGAGTCCCTCTAGAGTGACCCTAGGCAACTTTGTGATTGTGATTTTTCTTTTTCCTTTTTTGAGACATGGTCTCATTGTGTAGCCTTGGAAATCTGAAACTCATTATGTAGATCATCCTTGCTTCAAACTCATGGAAATCAGCCTGCCTCTGCAAGAAGTTGGGATTAAAGGCCTGTGCTGCTACTACCTTTACTTTTTGAAACATGATTTTATATATTCCAGGCTGGCCTTGAACTCACTATAGAGCTAAAGATGACCTTGCACCTCTGTTTCTCCCAGCTCCACCTCCTGAATAAATTACAGGGATGTACTACAGCTTTTGTGTTAGAGTGCTGTGTGGAACCCTGGGCTTTATGTTAGGCAGGCACTCCAACAACTGAGCTACATCACCAGCCCTTCGTTTTGTTTTTGCTTGTTTTGTTTGAGACAGGGTCTTGCTGACACTGAACTTACTATGAAACCCAGGTTGGCCTCTGTATTTGCAATCCTCCTAATTCCCAAATGCTGGGATAACAGGTATATGGCACCATGCCCAACTTAGCCTCCACAATATGAACTTTTACTGTGGATGCTGATGACCTATCCTTGCTCAGTGTGACCCCCCACCCCTACCCCCTGCCAATCCGGGCTGGGTCCTCAAGTAAACTCTGCCTATAGACCTCAGAGGACCTTCTTACCGGGCAATTTCACACTTGCTGACCTCCAAGCCCCTCTTAGGCATGCTACCCATACCCCTTTGGGGTTCTTTGCTGGTGAATGTATTCAGGAAGTGGATGTAGGGAGCCTCATCTGTGATTTCAAAGTACCGGATGCTGGAGTCACCCTGTGGGAATAAGAAAGCTCAGCATTTGACCAGACCCTTCCCTGCCTCTCAGCCCCAGTCTGTTGCCCCATCCAGCCTCACCTTGCCACAGACATAGACCACGCTGGTGTCTGGGTCATAGAAGGGCAGCAGGGCCCCATTGCTTGAATCCAATTCCTGTAGGGCCATGGGCTCATCAAGGTTTTCCTAAGCACATGGGGGACAATCAGGCCAAGTCAGAATCTTCTCCTTCCAAACAGACCAGGACTGGCCTCAGCCAGTCTCACACAATAGCCAGCAACATTCCCTAACATGCTAATGGTTTTCTCCAATCCCAGGTCCCACTTTCCCAGTGTTCTCCATGACTTAAGACTATTCCCAAACCAACAGACAAGTGTTGAGAAAGTCTGGATACAAGAAGGCTGAGGAGCTAGGTGGTACCAGCCCAGGCCTCAAAGGGGCCTTCAAGTTCACTGTACAGGAGTGCTTTGCTGAGAGAGAGAGAGTGTAGCAGAGCAGGGACTGGGGGCTCTCCCAGGAGGGTACCTTTATGGTTTGTGCAAGCAGAAAGAAGAATGTGGGAGGTACTGGAGGAGTGTCAGGGAGAGCCAGAAAGCTGGAGACAGGGAAGGGAGGGGCTGGCAAGGTCCTGGAAGTCTCAAGGGCTAGGCTGAGGATCTAAGCAGTGCAGGCTTCTCCTCCATGCTGATCTCTGTCTGCCTGGCCCAAGGAGGAGTATCCTAGGGTGAGGCCCAGGTCAGCAGGCTACATCACTCACTGGGTCCCACAATGCCAGTTGTCGTTCACTCATGCGGCTGAAACCAGTGGTAAACACCTTGCCATCGGCCAGAAAGATGGCCCGCATGGGCCGGGCCCCCTCATGAGCCTTCTCCCGCTCCTGTAAAATGGATAAATACTCAGTGCAGTGCAGATCAAGACTCTGAGACCATATATTGCCATCCTTGCCCCTCGGGATACCTACTGCCACCAGGGTGCCCCTCCTGGGATCGATGATTCGGACACTCTTGTCCTTGCAAGCTGAGCAGAAGAGGCTGCCATTGTGGTTCCAGCTCACATTGTAGATGAGGTCAGGGTGCAAAGTGTCCAGGCGGTATAGCTCCTCTGCAGTGCCCACATTCCAGATAAGCACCACATTGTCACAACCTGGTAGGCAAGCGGTCATCAGCTCATGCAGGTCCAGGCATGCAGTTGTGGGGCCATCAGCCCACTAGACCCACTCTGCCCACTCCTCCGGTACTACACTGGGTCTCCCTCTTTGTAGGTATCAGTTTCCCTATCTGTTAGATTGGTCTGTGAGAGGCTGCTGAACATTTCACAATCACCCTGGAGAAGGGTATGAAGGGGCAGGGAGTAGTGAAGACCTGCACTGAGAAGCACATTTCGGGCTGTGGGGTGCCAGGTGACGATGCCCACACGCTTGGTATGCCCCTCAAGCACCACTACTGGCTCAGTCAGTGGAGAGGTCAGCCCATTCTCTGGAATCTGCCATACCTGTGGTAGGGACAGGGAGGATGGGCTCAGGCCCGTGCTTGCCCCTCTGCCAACATCCTTCAGCCACACCCGGAGACCCTCATTTGAATAGTCCTATGCTCACCATGACTGTGCAGTCCTCTGAGCCACTGGCAATGACTTCATCATTGTGGGGACACCAGTCAATGTCCAGAACAGGTCCCGTGTGCCCACACACTGTTGGGTAGGCCTTGTCAATGCGGCCTGTCTATAGGCATTAAGATGGAGTCAGAGGAAGACCAAAAGCCCAAGTCTCCATTCCTCCCAGCATCATGGTGTAAGAATGACTTGACTACCCTGTTTCCCAAATGTGATTCTGTGCAGGAAATGCCTGCAGCCTTTATCCAGACTTGGTGGCAATAAACACTTTTTCTACTTGTACCAACACCTCTCCTGGGCAATAAATCTGGATTATGACTTGTCCAGCAGTTGCCACAGGCCTAGAAATGGCACAAATTGCCCTGCCCACAGGTGTGGCCAGTGTGTCCTCATTCCTCCTCTCCACCCTGACCCATTGGGGCCCACCTTGCTTAAAGGGAGCACCATAAAGGCACCCCCGCCACTGGCTTCCACAATCACTGCCAGGAACTTGGGGTTGACTGCGCAGAAGGTACTGTCCCAGGTAACCCGGGACACTCGAATGTCCTCATAGCACTGATCATTCTTGACCGGCTGTCCGAACACATGCCGGAATTTGCTCTGTCGAACCACCTTTCGAAAGGACATGTCTGCAGGGCAGAGACATCTGGATCAGCTCTGGCCCTCCAAAGAGACACACAAAAGCCATGTCACCAGGGAATTGGTCACGATGACACTGGGAGTTCCAGTTTCCCCAGTTATAGAATGGGTTCATAGGTGAAGACCAACAGACCCTTACCCCCCAATCCCGCCCATAGCTCTGTTATCTATGTGTGTGCACCCGTGTGTGTGTGTGTGTGTGTGTGTGTGTGTGTGTGCGTGCGTGCGCGCCCGTGGGTGGATGCTGCTGAAAGGAAGGCAGAGCATAGATCTTCTGTAGGTCCCAACTGGTTCCAAGCAGCAGAGTTTGGGGTTGAGAAATGGGGCGAAGAGGCGGCAAAAGGGTTTGGTCTCCTACTAGGCCGCAGCTGAGTCCCAGGGAATGTGCAAAGAGCTTCAGGAAGTCCGGCCTAGGGACCCTGGCAGAACAGGGATCGCGAGGATGCTGCCTGATCCTCAAAGTGGCCTCGGAGCACCAGGGACTCAACTTCCAAAGATCCCTGCCCAGGAAAGGAGAGATGGGCGGCTGGGGGGTTGGGACTGAGGGTGGGGCGCCGCGGAGGGGATGCGCTCTTCGGGCTCACGCCCCCCTCCCCAGGCCCACATCTGCGCCCCTACTCCGGCCCTGCCGCGCTCACCGCTCACCGCTCACCGCTCGCCAGGGGCGCCGGGGACTGCGGCGGCGACCTCGGGCGGCTCCGGATCCCGACCTCTGGGAAGCAGGAAGCGGGAATCAGGAAGTGACAGAGGAGTGGGACAGGGGCGGGGCGAAGTCACGCGCAGAAGGCGGGGCTTTGTAATGCTCCGCCCGCGGGGCGAGGCCTGGTCGCTAGGCCCTCAACAAACAGAGTTACCGGGAGCGAGCGCGCTTGGTTGGAACTACTTCACAGGTACAGCCAACAGTAAGAGTCTCCGGGAGGGCGGGGGGGGGGGGTGGGTTTCCCCTATACTGGCCCTGCGCCCGCGCGCCTTTCCTCCCCCCTCCAACTTTTTTTTTTTTTTTTTTTTGGTTTTTCGAGACTGGGTTTCTCTGTGGCTTTGGAGGCTGTCCTGGAACTAGCTCTTGTAGACCAGGCTGGCTTCGGACTCACGGAGACCCGCCTGCTTCTACCTCCCGAGTGCTGGGATTAAAGGTGTGCGCCACCACCGCCCGGCCACCTCCAACATTTTCACGTGTGTTTTGTTTTGTTTTTGAGACAGGATCTTACTGTGCACACTTGGCTGGCCTGGAACTGGCACAGATCTCACAGAAATCTGCCAGCCTGCGTTTGCCTCCTTGGTGCTGCTATTAAAGGCATATACATGCCACCACACCCAGCCATAGGTGAGGTGCCAGTTTCAAGGACGGGAGTGCATGATGTCAGTTGACTATGTATATTGAAGAAGTGGAAGTCCATCATACATCCTGATGGACACCAGCGGATCCTACTTGGGCTTAGTAAAATCAAAGTAGACGATGACCTGTGGGTCCCATGCACCTTCCTTTCTTTCCTCCATCTCATCAGAGCCTGGATTTGCCTCCTCAGATTCACCCTGTCTGGTCACATCCTGGAGGACTTAGGTGCCCCTTAGGAGTCACAAGGTAGCATTCCTTCCTTTGTGTCCACCTCCCTGGGTGACCAGCAGTGATAGGTGGGTGTCTTTTCCAGGAAGAGAACAGGGCCATGGGAGGAGGCAAGAGCAGAGCTAAGAAGTGCTTTGTTTAGCCTGCATGAAGCTTCCCACTGTGTGTGGGTGGGTAGGTGGACTTGTGTCCCATTTCAGTGGTCACCACACTGTGAAGAAACAGGAGAGGCCATGTGCTTGATTGAGGCCTCCCAGCTGGGATTCGGTCTTAGACTGGATTTCACACTGTTCATAAACCCTGGAGCCAGGCAGGCAGAAGTGTGGCTTGACTTGGGTTGCAGGGGTTCCCTGGGAAGCCCACATCAGGCCAGGTGGCTACAGTTCCAAATACCTCCCACTCCCACATCACCCCACTTAAAATAAAATATAGTCCCCATGTTCCTCTCCCAGAATTCCTGTCTGACCCCTGCCCAGGGGTCAGGACACCTACCACTAGCCTCTCTCAACACATGTCTTAGTGACACCAAACCTCCACTCCCACCTCAGGCTAGCACATCTTGGTTCCTTCCTCCTTCTGGAAGCTCTTCCTGGCCTTGAGAAGGCCTCATCCTTCAAAGACTCCAGGTCTCCGCTCAAGCATTACCTCCCCTGAGGGCCCTTTGGGCTCACCTCTAACCCAGTCACTGTCTGGCTTTTCCTTATTAGCATCTGTTGTTCTTATTCCCAAATGCTACACTGTGTAATTATTTGGCACCTTGCTAAGATTCCTGCCAGCAAATGAGAAAGACAGGGACTTTGTCATGCCCCTCCCCCTAGTCCTTCTAGGTGCCCAGAAGGAGATCCCACCTAGCACTCTACGTAAAAACACTTCATGCTGGGTGAATAAATGAGCAGCAGGCCTGAATATAGAATTGCAAAATATTCATATTCACAGTCCTCAGAACCAACTTCTGGTTCCTTTGGGGGAGAGGGGGAACCATGCAGGGATCTCACCTGAAGGAAGGAGTCCCCCAGAAGGCTAGGACTGTCTGGGGACTGAGTCTCTCTGGCTCCATCTTCTCTAATGCTAACCTGTTCTGTGGGCCACTAGGAAAACTCCTCTTTATCCTGTAGGCTTCCCAGGGTGCATGCAGCTCTGTCTTCTGAGAAGCGATTCTCCCATATGGGTGAGATTCCGCTTGGAGACCTTGCAGGTGGGGCTGGCACACTCCCTAAGAGGCAGCACTAGTGGGGTGTGCCACAGTTGAAGGCAGGGAAGTTTTACTCTCTGATCTGATGTTGAGGAGGCTTTGGGACCCCCCCCCCACACACACACACAAGAGAAGAGAGAGGGTTACTGCAGAATGTCCCAAGGGAAACAGAAATCCAGGTTCTGCCCTCAGAAACTGGGACTCCAGCCAATGGGCAGAGAGAGAGGGAAGGTGAACCTCTCTTGTGGAGGAGGCACCATGCAGTGCAAGGAGGTGGATAATTGGTGCCCAGGCTACTTGCTAGGAGGCTCTGGTCTGGGCCTCATTTGGTCTCAGGGTGTCCTTTAGCATATCAAATTAATGGCTGTTGGTGATTGAAGACTTACTTTACCAAAGAACCAAGCATGTCAGAGAGGCCAATCATTATAATACCCATTTTACAAATGGATAAAGAAAGTCCCAAAAAATCTAAGAGCTTTGTTAAAGGCCACATAGTGAATGAGTGGTAAAGCAAGGGCTCAACAACCCTTAGAGACACCTTGAACCCTAAACATGTGTCTCTAAAATGGAAGGCTGGCCAGACTTCTAAATAATCATTAAATATTTGTTAGAGCCAGGTGGTAGCGGCACACACCTTTAATTCCAGCACTTGGGAGGCAGAGGCAGGCGGATCTCTGTGAGTTTGAGGCCAGCCTGGTCTACAAAGTGAGCTCCAGGATAGGCTCCAAAGCCACAGAGAAACCCTGTGTCAAAAAACAAAAAACAAAACTAAGAAAAGAGTGTGTGTGTGTGTGTGTGTGTGTGTGTGTGTGTGTGTATGTTAAAGAAATTAATTCAACAAATGCTTCAGAAATATCTCTCCCACTGTTTTTGTTGCCTGTGATGGTTTGAATAAGAGTGGCCCCCATAGGCTCATATATCTGAATGTTTAGTCACCAGGGAGTGGAATTCACTAATAGGATTAGAAGGATTGGGAGGTGAGGCCCTGTTGGAGGAAGTGTGTCACTGGGGTGGGCTTTGAGGTTTCAAAAGCCCATGTTATGCCCAGTTCACTCTCTGCCTGAAGATCAGGATGTAGCTCTCAAGTACTTCTCCAGCACCTTGCCTGCCGCCATGCTCCCTGCCATGATGATCATGAACTAAGCCTCTGAAACTGCAAGCCCCCCCCCCCCGTTACTTTCCTTTATAAGAGTTGCCTTGGTCATGGTGTCTCTTCACAGCAATAAAACAGTGACTAAGACAGTGCTTATGGTCCCATCAGGCTACCATTAAGCTTTAAAACTTTCATGGCCACTCTGTGGCATTCTCATGTGTGTACCCCATTCTTGTAATCACCAGCAAGAGAACATACCACCCATTATTTTGCAGTGCTGGTGACTGAGCCTAGGGTCTTGAGTATTTTAGGCAGGCACCCTACTAGTGAGTTGTATCCCTAGCCCCTCCTTTTTTCTTTTCTTTAGATTTATTTAGTTAAATTTATATATGTACCTGTCTGCATGTGTGTATGCGCACACATGCCCATGGAAATCAGAAGGAGGCATTGGATCCCCTGGAGCCAAAGTTTCATGCGTGTAAGTTGCCACATGTGGGTGTTGAGAAGCAACTTTGGTCCTTTACAAGAATATTATATGCTCTTAGCTGCTGAGCCATCTCTCCAGTCCCATCAGCCCTTGCTCTTTTGACCCAAAGTCTCACTAGGTAGCTCAGGCTGACCTTAAACTTATGAGACTCCTGCCTTGGTATCCTGAGTGCTAGGATTACAGGAGTGAGCCATGCCCAGCACATTGCCCCACCTTACAGATGAGAAAATTGACATTAAGAAGGAGTTTGCAACAAAATGCAGACCTGACTGCACCCCTCCCAGCTGCCTGCACAGCTTACCACCTTGCCTTTTTATGATGCAAGTTTCCCAGGGAAAAGCTCAGGTAAACTACCACTGTAATGGACACCTGCTGCTGAAGGCATTCCCTCAGCCACTCACAAATGGGAAGGGGGGAGGGTGGGTGAAGAGGGGGTGATTGGAGGGAAGGTTGTGGGAAACCATTTCAGCACTTCCTGTTTTGTTTTTCTCTTGCAGCATCTGCAGCTGGAGAGGAAGAACTGGCTCAGCCCTGCCTGTGACTTCCGAAGCTTCCTGGGACCATGGTGCCCAGGGCTCTCTGCCTTTGGCCAGCTTCCTGTCTGTCTTGGGATTCGAATTCCAACATACTCTGCACCCGAAGCTCCCCCAGATCCTATCCTACCCTCCCTGAAGGCTGGTGGCAGATGACATTAGTTCGGCTCTTGAAGATTTCTGAGTCTCCCGCCCTCAAGGCACAGAGGTGGCTTGTCTGCAACCTAAGCAATCAGAGGATCTTAGGTGCTCCAGGCAGATGGTGGCACTGTCCTCCTGCTGTCCAGTCCCATCCCCTAAGGGCCATTTTTGTATGTCAGTGAAGTTTGAAAAGGCCATCTGCCCCAGCGTTTCACTGTGTGCCAGGCTGCTGCAGATGCCACACTCACCTTCTCATTTAACCCTCAAAGGCCCTCAGAGCATGCCCAGTTACCAAGTCAGGGTGTGGCAGAGCTGGATTTGAAGCCAGGCCTGGCTGCCTCCTCGCTTTTGTCTGATTGCATCCGACTCTTGGTTGTACCTTGCTAGGGAAATCTTGTCCCAGGCTCTGTATGCTGGGGGCTGGTGAATGTCTCAGACAGCTTGGCTATGCCAGGCCAACTGGCTGGCTCCTGCTTTAGACTGTGGGCTCCTGGAAGCCTCCCCTCTCTACAGGCACTTTTCAGTTTGGTGCCCAAGCCAGAGAACCAGACAGGAATGGACAAAGTGAGGAAAAGGTTAGAGGGCAATCAGACCAAGCCCAGAGGAAGTGCCTCTGCTGTCTTCCTCCACCAGGATGGAGGCAATAACCTTAAGCACGTATCCAGCACTGGGGGCTAGAACCCAGCAGAACCATCCTCAGCAGCTCAAGGATGCTGGGTGTTTGGGGTAGTAATGAAAAAGCCTGATGAGACCAGGGTGGAGACACAACTCCCTGTCTGGGACTTTTGGCTAACTGGTTTCACTTCTCCTCTGCTCTCCTGGCAGGCTCAAGGGACTTGATGGGTTTTTCACTATTGCTTTTCTTCAAGCTCCCACTCTGCCTAGTTGCTTCATTGGCTTTCTCTGACTCTTCTACTGCCCTGGCAGGCCTGGGCTTCCCCATCTCTCAAGTAGGGCCTGTGTTGGGACCCTCTTTTGGTGGGATACTGTTATGGCTTTCTCCCTCAGGGACAGCTGGTCTGTCTAGGTTCTCGGGGGCTACAGGCGCGGAATCTGGGCATGGTCTGGGGGTGCTTTCCTCACCAGGGTTAGAGGCTGACTCAGCCCCACAGGCAGGGGTCTGGGCCTCTGTGCTTGACTGTGGCTGGGCCACAGGATCCAACTGTGGCTGGGTCAGGGAGTCCACTTGAGTCTGGACCACAGAATTTGACTGTGGTTGGGCTGAAGGGTTCACTTGAGGTTGAACCATGGGATCCAACTGTGGCTGGGTAAAAGGGTTCACCTCAAGTTGAACTACAGGATCCAATGGTGGCTGGATCGGGGAGTCCACCTCAGGCTCGACAACAGAATCTGACTGTGGCTGGACTGAGGGATTCACCTGAGGCCGGACCAGGGTGTCCAACTGTGGCTGGCCTTCAGCTGTTGGTCCTGGTGGAGTTAGGCCCACAGAGGCCACCTGTGTCTGCGGCTCAGCTGGCATGAAGCTGCCAGGCTGTTCCTCACAGACAGCAGCTGCAAAGGAGGAAAGCACAGAGCGCAGCAGGGCTCGGAGATCAGCACTGGCTGCCAGACACAGGAAAGGGCTCAGGCAGCTGTTGAGCAGAATCAGGTAGTCAGAATAGACTAGGGCTTCCCAGAGCAGGTAGCCAGGGTAGACATCCCATAAGAAAGCCAGATAGAGCAACTGTGCGAGCTGGTAGGGCAGCCTCAGAACCACATAGGCTGATAGAATGGTCTTGGCCACACGGGCAAAGCCTTGGCGGGCCATAGGCCTAGGCTGGTGCCCACAACAGGTCCTGCAAGCAGCGGCTTGGGTAAGCATGTGGCAGACCAGCAGCAAGAGGAAGGGCAGGAAGCCCCCCAAGATCTCAAGCATCCGCAGAGGCAGCTCCTCACTGTCCCAGAAGTCCAGGCAGATGACAAAGTCGTACCACCAAACAGTAGCCTCGGGGAAGACCAACCAGGGCACACTAAATAGCGTGGCCAGCACCCAGACCCCAGCACACACCCAGAGGGGCAAGCGGGTTGGGCGGCGCTCTGGGTACCAGCGTGGGCACAGCGCCAACAAGCATCGGTCCAGGCTGAGGGCTGTCAATAGGAAGAGGCCGGAAGAGTAGGACACACCCCATAGGAAGTAGTAGAAGCGGCAGGCAGCAGTGCCCAGTGGCCAGTGCCCTCCATGCTGGATCTCCAGAATTTGGAAAGTTGCTGCTGCCAGGAATAAGAAGTCAGAGAGGGCCAGGCTGAGCAGGAGCAGAGCCAGTCTCGTGCCAGCCCCGTGCCGGGCCTGCGAGCCAGCCAGCCATGCCATCAGCCCATTGGCTGGCAGTCCCAGGAGAAGTAATGCTACCAGAAAGACTGTGTCCCAGCTGCCCTGAGGGTAGTAGTCCTCATCATCGAGCTCTGTGCGGGGACCGTGGCCAGCAGCGCCCAGGTTGGCTTCCATAGCAGTATCCATTTCGGGTCCTCAGTGTAGCGCTGGACATGGACTGCCAGTCTGCTGAATCAACAAATATGTGATGGCTTGGTGTGAGAGAGATGGTGTTTGCACCTCAGGCCAGTCACTGACTGTCCTTCTCTGGGCCAGTATTATCACCTTTTGAGTAATTAGCCTGTGCCAGGCAGTTAAATAGATAACCTCATGTGGTCCCCCTATAATCAATTTTACCAGTGAGGAGACTTGACCATAAAGATATGGTCAGCAACTCAGGCCATACTTAACTATCTTGCCGCATGGAATCCATGTGCCTAAGTGAACTAAGCCAGAGGTTTTCAAGTTTGTTGGGGAGATTGCTAAATATTTTCTTGAGACAGGGTCTTGCTATGGAATCCTGTCTGGCCTGGCACTTGCTGTGTAGATCTGGATTGCCTCAAGTGTGAGTCAATCCTTCTGTCTTAACCTTTTAAATGCTAGGATTACTAACATGTACCACTATGCTATTTTAACTCTTTTTTTTTTTTTAAAGATTTTATTATGTATACAACATTCTACTTCCATGTATATCTGCACACCAGAAGAGGGCACCAGATCTCATAATGGATGGTTGTGAGCCACCATGTGGTTGCTGGGAATTGAACTCAGGATCTCTGGAAGAGCAGTCAGTGCTCTTAACCTCTGAGCCATCTCTCCAGCCCCAACTCTTTTTTTTTTTTTTAAAGAATTATTTTTTGGGGCCAGGCATGGTGACAAATGCTTTTAATTCTGGCATTTAGGACACACAGAAGCAGGGGAATCTCTGAATTCAAGGCTAGCCTAGTCTACATAGCAAGTTCCAGGCCAGCCAAGGGCTACATAGTGAGGCTGTGTCTCAAAAAAGAAAAAAAAAATATTTGATGGGTATGAGTGTTTGCCTCTGTGTGTGTGTGTGTGTGTGTGTGTGTGTGTGTGTGTGTGTGTGTGTGTGTGTGTGTGTTGGATCCCCCAGGACTGGAGTTTTATAGCAGTTGAGAGCTATCATGTAAGTGCTGGGAACTAAACTTGGTTCTTCTGCAAGAGCAACAAATGCTTTAACGGCTGAGCCATCTCATCTCTCCAGATCAGTTTTTCAATTTTTAAGACAAGATCTCATGTAGCTCAAACTGGCCTCGGTCTCATTATAGAGCTGAGGAGAGCCTCGAACTCCTGGTCCTTCTGTATTCACCTACCCAGTGCTCGGATTTCAGCCATGCACCACTCTGTTCAGTTCATGCAGTACTGAGAGAATTGAACCCAAGGCCTTGTGTAAGACTGGCAAGCATTCTACCAACTTAGCCACGCTCCCTGACCTTGTCTCTTGTTTCTTTGAGACAGGGTGTCACTATGTAGACCAGGTTGGTCTCAAAGTTTAAATGATCTTCCTGCCTTGCTTCCTGAGTGCTGGGATGAGGAGTGTGCCTCACGCCCAGCTTCAGCTCTTTCTCCCACAGCTTCAAGTTTTGTTTTAAGACAAAGTGCTAGAGTAGAACATGTACGTGATGGGAGGGAGTGCTCCAAATTAAAGGTGTGGGAGCACCTAGTGTTGCAGAAGACAGGGTTTGAAAATCATATAAAGAAAGCAATGCTGGTAATATCAGTACTTGAGAGGCAGAGACAGGAGAATTGCCATGAGTTCAAGGTCAGTCTAGACTACAGGGTTTTAAAACTTTCAAACAAAAGCAACAACTGGTGCACACCTGAAACTTGAACATTGGAGAGTGGAGCAAGAGGATCAGGAGTTCAAAGCTAGCCTTTAATACTTGGGGTTTTGAAGACAGCCTGAGACACATGAGACATTATCTCAAATCAGGAAGAAAGAAAACTACTTGATTATCCCTGCACAAGATCCTGATATACTGGGGTTTCAAAAATTTACAGTTCCAGGAAGGAAAGTGCCATTAGTGCCTTCCTCAGGACACCAGGTGAAGTCTGAGCCTCCAGACCCCCGGCAGACTGGCTGGGAGAGTCCTGGGAAAGCTCAGCACTTTTCAGTGTCTTGCACTGCCACCTGTGTTCCTTTCCTGGTAGAGGAGCCCTGTTTGTCCCTAGAGCTACTATGCAGAGGAGGAAGTGGCCTCCCTCAGGATGATGACAATGAAGTGGGGGGTGGGGGAGGCTAGGGAGGGGGAGGGGCAAGAGGGGGTGCACAACAGGATGACACCCAGATATGAGTCTCAAGTGCCTTCTGCTGTCCTTACTCTATCTCCCCCAGCTGGCGGAGGGAAGAAAGTGTCCCTTTGAGGGTGGAGAGGGACTGGCTACAGCTGTCTACTACAGAACATGTCTGAATCATGCATGCAACCCATGGTTGCAACCACTTTCCCCACAGCTCCCCACCTCTGCCTCTTCCTTGTCAGAATCTCCTCCATGAGTTCTAGCCCCGATGGCCTCAGAGCCTAGATGCCCCTCCCTCAGGGCTTGTAGCATTGCCTGGCTTACCTGGGAGATACAGGCCAGGTAGAAGGAGCAGGGTGCTGCCTGCTTGCCCAAGGTCCAGCCACCAACCAGGCCCACGATGGTGCCTGCTGCATGGCGCCCAGTTGCGATATGGAGGCGGACAGGCAGGAAACCCAAGCTGAGGGAGCATCAATCATTCATGGGTCTGCTCTCTGGGAAACCCTAACCGTGGCCCCATAGGGCTAAGTCACCAGTCAGGGCCCCCCATCTCAACAAGGTTAGATAATGGAGACCCTTTGCTAGGAGCTCCTCTGGCTCAGGGCACGCTGTGTCAATCTCACCCCTCCTTCAGCATCCAAGGCCTCTTTTCTAAAGTTTCCTATGTCCTCTGCCCCAGCTAGGATGTCAGTCCATTGGGGACCCAAGGTGACAACTCTCAGCCTTTCCCAGTATTCCCTTCCTAAGGGGCCTTCACTGGTCTTTGATACAGTAAGTTCAGCCATGTCACACTCTGGTATTAGGGCTTAACTCTGCAGCAGTGTGCCTCCATTTCACAGATGGGTAAACTGAGACTTAGAAAGATGTATCGGCTGCTTCTACTAGGTAAGACATGATTGAGCTTAAGTATGAGCCTACTGCTGTGTCTTGGTACCCTCACTCCTAATAGTTTTTAAGACTCACCTGGTGCTTCCAGGACACCCTGGGGCAGAGGCCAAGGATTAGGCTGGCTGCCCAAGTTTACTCTAATCCCCTCACTGTGGATCCTAGGTGATGAGCTCAAGCCTGAGGGGTCATAAGCAGCTTTCTGGGCCCTGAGAGCCAAGGGCACTCCAGGGAGCTGCATCCCCTTATCTTCTCCATGGCAACAGAGCAGGGCTCACAGCTGCTTCCTGGCCCCCAGAAGACCCCTGAAGGAGCCGTATCTCCTGGGAGTACTGCTGAGGGCTCCACCTTGGCCAGAAGAAGGAGCAAGAAGGAAAAGGAGCTACCACGTTCTCAGAAGGCCAGTTCTGGGAAGCAGTCCTCTGGCCGGTGTTCTGAGGCCTCAGGAAGCAGCAAGAACCCCCCAAAGACCAGAGCAGGGCAGGATGAGCCATCCTCAGCACCGTCCAGTCAAGCCTCTCACCGACAATCCCACCGACATCGCCCTGATCCCCAGCAGGACGCTGCCCAAAGGACTTACGGGCCCCTGCTCAACCGTATCTTTGGAAAGGTCAGGGAGTATAGGGGTGGGGGAATTGAAACTAACTCTCCTTATCTTTATCCCTTCCTGACCCTACATGTCCAGGCCTTCTGCCTCTTGTGCCCCAGATTGGGAAAGACAGGACAGGGCAGAATTGTGGCTTCTTGTACCCCAGACCAGGGGAGCCAATGCAGGACAAGGTTGGCTTCAGGCCAGCGGGCATAGTGAGCAGAAGACCTTCGAAGGTAGTTCTCAGCCATCTTCAGATGCTTTGGTGGGGCCAGCCCTGCACAGGGCACTTGGAGGGTTGGACAAAGTGTGGCAAATGGGGATATGTTGGCTTATTCCTATTCAGGATCGTGAACTGGGCCCCGAGGAGTTGGAGGGTGAGTATCGGTCACTGTTGCGGGGAGGTGGAAGGTGGCTCTGAATCTGGCTTCCTGCTCTGACTTCTGCTAACCCCTACAGAGCTTCAGACTGCCTTTGAGGAGTTTGACACTGACCGGGATGGCTACATTGGCTACCGGGAGCTAGGTGACTGCATGCGGACACTAGGCTACATGCCCACGGAGATGGAGCTCCTGGAAGTGTCACAGCACGTGAAGATGCGCAGTCAGTGATAGAGCCCTGCTGGGTGCTTGGGTCGGGAGTCAGACTAGTTACCTAGAGGGTGGGTGGGCCACAGCCATGTTACTTTTAATTTTAGTTATTATTAGTGGGGGATGTGTATGCCATAGTGTCAAAATACAAAATACAACTGTTGGGAGTGAATTCTTCTATCATGTGGGTCCCATGGATCTACTCAGACTCAGGTCATCAGGCTTGGTGACAGGCATCTTTATCCATGGAGCCATCTGCTGCTCTTGGTTCTTGCTTTCGTTTTACAACAATTTCCAAAATGAGCATGGGATCTGTACACATCCTGGATTGCTTTCTATTGCTGTGGTAAATACCATGACCAAAAGCAACTTGGAGAAAAAAGAGTTTATTTTGTATCAAAACTTGCAATCCATCATTGAGGGAAGTCAGAACAGGAACTCAAGTCAGGAACCTGGAGGCAGGAACTGAAACAGAAACTGGAGAAATGCTGCTTACTGGTTTGTTCTCCAAGCTCCTGTTCAGCTACACCCAAGCCCCCACCCCACCCCATTTCCCAATTTGTTTTGTTGTTGTTGTTTGTTTGTTTTTGTTTTTTTCAAGACAGGGTTTCTCTGTGGCTTTGGAGACTGTCCTGGAACTAGCTCTTGTAGACCACGTTGGTCTCGAGCTCATAGAGATCTGCCTGGCTCTGCCTCTCCCTCCTAGGGGTGGTACCACTCACAATGGAAAGGGCCCTTTTATATCAATCATTAAGAAAATGTCCCACAGACTTGCCTATGGGCCACTCTGATGGAGGCATTTCTTCAATTGAAGTTCCATTTTCCTAAATGACCCTATTTTATGTCAAGTTGACTCACAAAAAATTAATCAGAGCCAGACGTGGTAGCGCACGCCTTTAATCCCAACACTGGGGATTCAGAGGCAGGAGGATCTCTGTGAGTTCAAGGCCAACCTGGTCTACAGAGTGAGTTCCAGGTTAGTGAGAATTGAATAGAGACCAGACCTCAAACAACACTAACAAAAAGCACAATGCACATTCTAGGGTTATGCATCTCTTTCCTCCCAAAGTTGTTACTTGCTCCTTGGAGTCTTAGGGGACTAATGACGTTTTAGCATTAAGGGGCTGACAACATGGCAGTGCTTTTTAAAGGTATTTAGTATAGATGGACTTTCTTTTCCACTGCTCCAAAGAATGACACAGAGACATTAATTATGAAAGTTTGGTCTTAGCTTAGGTTTGTTCCAATAGCTCTTATAACTTAAATAATCCATTTATTTTAACTTGTGTTCTGTCTCATGGCTTGTTACCTCATTTCTCTGTACTACCCATCCTGTTTCCTCTGCATCTGGCTGGCGACTCCACCTTTCTTTTTCCCAGAGTCCTCTCTGTCCCTGGAAGTCCCGCCTAACCTCTTCCTGCCTAGGTATTGGCCATTCAGCTCTTTATTAAACCAATCACACTGAGACATTTTCACACAGTGTACAAATATCCCACTATTTAGTGTCTTCTGCTCAGCTCTACCCAGCTATAGCCCTGATTTCTAGCAGCTATAACACTGCTCCATGGAATAGCTTCTTCCAGGCCCATCCCAGGATGAGAGTTAAGAGGGTTGGTAAGCTACCCAAGGCCTTGCACAGCAACAGGACTGAACTTGGGCTGCCTTCTCTGAAGCCAGGTCTCTTTCTGGCCCACTGGGGCTTTCTGGAGAACAAGAGCACCCTGCAATAGCCAAGAAACCCTTCTTTGAGCAAGGAAGTAGGTTTGCCTTCATGGGTTCAGAGCCCTGGAGGGAAGACAGAAGAATGTAACATCCCCCTGAGCAGATTGTGACTCTCTGCCTGGGTCCACAGTGGGTGGCTTCGTGGATTTTGAAGAGTTTGTGGAGCTGATAAGCCCAAAGCTGAGGGAGGAGACAGCTCATATGTTGGGTGTACGAGAGCTCCGCATCGCTTTCCGAGAGGTAAGGAGTGCAAGCATGGCCCACATCTCCTTACTGGGAAATCTCAGCCTTCAGGAGGTCCAGAGAGGCAAGTTTAGGGTCTAGGAACAGGTAGAAAGGCTTGGCTTAGTCCCAGTGAGATCGCCAATCAGGGAAACCTCCCATAGGAGGCAGTGCTGATTCTTGAGAATGGGGAGGTTGAGATCCCTGGTGGGGAGCATCATTGCCCTGGATCAGGCAGTGGCAAGAGCAGAACCAAGAATAGGATGTAGTTCAGTTGGTAAAGTGCATACCTAGCATACACAAAGCCCTTGGTTCAAGCCTCAGCACCAAACAAAACCAGGGCATAGTGGTGAACACGTGTAATCCAAGGACTCTGGAGGTGGGGAAGGCAGGAGAGGAGGATACGCAGTTCAAGGCTATACTCCACTAGTGAGTTTGCGGCCAGCCTGGTCTTCATGAGAGACTCTCTCAACAACACAAACTAAACAAACCCAAGAAGGTCAGTCAAGCATGTTGGCCCACACTTTTAATCCCAACACTTGGGAGGCAGAGGCAAGAGAAACTAGTATGAGACCAGCCCGGGAGGATGCCATAGTGAGTTCCTATCTCAAATAAAAAAAGAAACAAGAGTAGAACCACATACTGAGACAACAGGTAGGAGCCCCGCTTGGACTCTGTTTTGACAGTTTGACAAGGACAGGGATGGACGGATCACAGTGGCAGAGCTGCGGCAGGCAGCACCAGCTCTGCTGGGGGAACCACTAGAAGGCACTGAGCTGGATGAGATGCTGAGAGACATGGACCTCAATGGGGATGGCACCATAGACTTTGACGGTGAGTCACCCTCACAGACACACCCCTCCCATGCCTCTAGCACTTTGAACCTTCTTCAGTCCCTGACCTGGGTTGGCCTTTCCCTACCCCTCTCTCCTGCAGAATTTGTAAAGATGCTATCTACTGGGTGAGGCACCTGAAGGGACAACCTACTGCCCCTGAGGCCCAGATACCAGGCGAGAACCAGACTACCACACCCTTCCCCAGGGTGGGAGAGATCCTCCCCAACTGTAGGCTGCTTCTACCCCTGACCACACCTGACTACTCCAGTGTCTGCTGCACTCTGTCTTCTCCTCCCACTCCTGAGCTGTGTAGGGGAAAATGGCAGCTTGTTGCAGTTCTCAGTAGAGAACACAATTTGGATCTCTCCAGATCCTGGAGAGGTAGGGAGTTCCCTAGCATTTGCTGCATTCAAATAAATCAGACATAGTATGTGGTGGGGAATTCCTAGGACATAGTGGATTGAGATGCGTATACAGTGCTGTTTTGAAAAATGAACTTGGCCCCGGTACAATGGCAGCAGGTAAAAGCTCTGTTACCAAGCCTGAATTGTATCCTTGATATTTTTGTGGTGGGGGCCAGGTGGTGGTGGCACCCTCCTTTAAAATCCCAGCATTTGGGGCTGGAGAGATAGCTCAGAGGTTAAGAGCACCGACTGCTCTTCCAGAGGTCATGAGTTCAATTCCCAGCAACCGCATGGTGGCTCACAACCATCCGTTATGAGATCTGGTGCACTCTTCTGGTGTGCAGATATACATGGAAGCAGAATGTTGTACACATAATAAATAAATAAAATCTTTAAAAAAAATCCCAACATTTGGGAGGCAGTGGCAGGTAGATTTCCATGAGTTCCAGGCCAGCTTGGTCTACAGAGTGGGTTCCAAGTCAGCCAGGGCTATACAGAGAAACCCAGTTTCAAAAAACTAAAAACCAACCAAACAAAACACAAAATAAATAATTCACGCGATGGAAGGAGAAAAACCAACTTCACAGAGTTGTTCTTTGGCACGCGCATGCTCTGTCCACCCCGCTCCCTGCCATGAATGAAAAGTAAACTGGAACCTGGGTGTGGCACTACATGCTAGTAATCTCAGTATCAAGGTCAAGGCAAGAGGGTAAGAAGTTCCAACAAAGAAAGAAACTGAAAGGAAGGGCTGATCTTAGGTCTCCAAAGCTCAGGGAGCTCAATGTGGGGCCTGGGGGAAGATGACACTGGGAGAATTCAGTACTGGATTGAGGCTTGGGAGCCTGGGCTCTTACACTCACGAGTGATGGACACCCATGTCTGCTTGAGTCTGGGGACAAGGTATGAATCTACTTATGTTCCAGATTCTGAAAAGGCAACCTAGAAAAGAAGACTCAAGTATGAGAAAGTGGCATGTGGAGGGTGGAAAAAGTTTCTGCAGAGAAAAAATAACACAAAGGGAAGATATGGCTTGGGCCTTTTCTGCAGGTGCCAGAGAGAAGGGTAGAGTGACTGACTGATAGAGGACTTCATTTAAAGTTAGCCTGGAAGGTAACAGACACAGGATATCTCATTCAATAATCAAACAGAGGAGGCAAGCAGGAAAATAGGAGAAGGCTGGAGACAAAGAGGGGAAATAAGCCCCTCACACCACCTTTGAGACAGGGTAGTCTGGCTGTCCTGGAACTCACAGAGACCCTCTTACCTCTGTCCAGTCCCCAAATGCTGGGATTAAAGGCATGCACCACTCACCCACAATAGAAATATTTATGCCTCCTCTCAGTATGTTTCAAGATAAAGAAATACTGTTTATAGTGTCTGTCTGTTTAGCGTTTAGGTCTCCAGCATTCTTTGAGAAAGTGTGGCCAGTGACATCTGGGTTAGATCAGTTAACCAGCAAAAGGCAAGTTCTGGGTTGGAGTGTGACTTAGTGGCACAGTGCCTGCCTAGCATTGGCTAGGTCCTGGACTTGAGTGCATCACTAAAAAAGGAAAGAAAGAAAAAGAAGGGGCAGTGAGGTGGCTCAATAGGTGAAGGTGCCAAGTCTGAAGACTGAGTTCAGTCCCTGGGATCCACATGTTGAAGGAGAGAACTGACTCCCACAGTTGTCCTCTGACCTACACACATGGGACGTTGCATGTGTGAACCTCTACTCCGAAATAAATCATGTAATTTTAAAAAAGATTTATTTATTATGAATACAGTATTCTGCCTGCATGTATGACTGTTGGCCAGAAGAGGGCACCAGATCTCAATACAGATTGTTGTGAGCCAACTAGGGGTTGCTGGGAACTGAACTCAGGACCTCTGAAAGAGCAGCCCATGCTCTTAACTGCTGAGCCATCTCTCCAGCCTGAAATAATGTAATTTTAACAAAAGAAGAAAACTTATTACCTTATAATTTTAAGTGATACATACTAGGTCAAAGAATGGAATCGGAATTGGATGTACTGGCTTTAAATTTTTTTTAAGCTGGGTGGTGGTGGTGCTGCACACTTTTAGCCCCAGCATTCAGGAGGCAGAGGCAGATCTCTGTGAGTTCAAGACCATCCTGGTCTACAAGAGTTAGTTTCAGGACATCCTCCAAAGCCATAGAGAAACTGTCTCAACCCCCACCCCCACAAAAATATTATTGAGCTGGAAAGATGACTCAGTGGTTAAGAGCACTGGCTGCTCTTCCAGAGTACCTGAGTTTAATTCTCAGCACTCACATGGCAGTTCACCCCTGTTTGTAACTCAAATTCCTGACACCCATGGCAAGACAACAATGCACATAAAAAATAAACATAGCCAGGCGTTGGTGGTGCACACCTTTAATCCCAGAACTCGGGAGGCAGAGGCAGAGGCAGAGGCAGGCAAATCTCTGTGAGTTCGAAGCCAGCCTGGTCTCCAGAGTGCCAGGATAAGGCTCCAAAGCTACACAGAGAAACCCTGTCTTGACCCCCCCCCAAAAAAAAATCAGGTTGGAGAATTGGCTCAGTAGTTTAATTCCCAGTATCCACATACAGGCTCACTACCTCCTTGGGCATCAGGTATACATGTGGTCCAGAGACATACATGCAGGCAAAACACTCATTCACACAAATAAATCTAAATTTAACAAATCTGGGGGGTGGAGCATGAGGATGCTATAGCACAGACATAGAGATCAGAAGAAAACCTCAGTTGGTCTTCAACTTCTGCTTTAGGATAGGTGGGGCTCTTGCTATCTTGGAACTTCAGGTACCAGGCCTCCAACTTCCAGGGATTCTTCTGCCTCCCCCTCCCATTTCTGTAGGAGCGGAGCTGGAATGACAGACATCCACTGCTGGGTCTGGCTGTGTGTGTTCTGGAGATTCCAACTCAGATACTCACAATTGCATAGCAAGTGCTTTATCCACGGCGCCATCTCCCAGCTCCCTCAGTTTTTTGTTTATTGAGTGTGTGTGTGTGTGTGTGTGTCCCAGGGATCAAGTGTCCCAGGGAGCATTATGTGGAGGTCAGAAAAAAGCTTGTGGGAGTCTGTTCTCTTCCCATCATGTGGGACCCAGGGATTAAACTCAGGAGGCAGAGGCAGAGGCTGTCTGGCTTGACAGCAGTACCTTAAGCCCTTGTTGCCACCTCACCAGACCTTTATTGTTTAACTGCATCAGTCCATGCCTCGGCTAGTTGTAGAGTGTCATGTTACTTAAGGTGTTCTGACTGGAGGTCTGAGGCAGAAGGCCTGGGTGGGTCAGGGGAGGAGAGTGTCAAAAGACTAGGTGTCTACTCATTCAATAAAGGCAAGGGACCCAGGTGCCCAGCATCCTGTTCTGTGGACACCCTTGCTTTGGTCTGGAAGAGGGAACATTCACTCAGCTGGTCTTTTGGTGGCTTCAGAAGACACCAGCCTTATTCCAGTTTTTTTCCTCTCCCTGAGCTTTAGAAGGGCTTGGGTTGTGTTTTTTTTCCTTGGTGAGTTGGTCCTCACCTGTAAACTGGGGGGCCTTGGGCTTCTCATCTGAGAAATGGGGCTGAGGCTTTAAGGATTCTAAGACTTGATTTGGGGAAGTGCTTGGCACAGCTTATTTCATGAGAACTACTGTGAGCTCAGATTTCCTGATGGTAAAGTTTGGGTTTTTTGTTTTAGTTTTTGTTTAAGTTTTAGACATTATTAGGGACGCCGATCTTCCAAAAACCTAAGATGGTGTTTCAAACCTTTGGTGGCTCTAAGTCTCCTTGTCACTGTGTTGCCCTCTGAGAAGCTGTGCTTCCACACCCTCTGCTCCCTGGTTCTCCCAAGCTCTGGGCCCAGGAAATAGGGCAGTGTGTAGAGGAGCACCGAATCTCACATGACCCACATTCAGAGATGCCTATGGTAGCCTAGGGCCCCAGAGCCAGGCTGGAACCAGGATACCAGCCTCCAGGCCCCAGGCCTTCGTCATCTCTCAGTGCCCTTAAATAAGGCCACCAGTAGGGGAGCTGGCCTGTTACACAGATGGGGACAGTTGAATCTCCTCAAGGTTGAAGGCAGGGAGGCTGAGACCACTTCTCCATCCAGCTCTGCCCTGGACATAGTGGTGACCTTGAGTACATCTGAGATCACCAGGTTGTCCTAGATGCCATGAGAGAGAGGTTGGTGGTCCTCCACAGCCCAGGTGAGTCTTTTACTAAACCTCTGTAGAAGGGAGTTGTGGTTGTTAGTAGGCTGGGCCAGGCCTGGTGGGACAGAAAACTGCAACTGTCCCTGCTGGGATTAATTACCCTTTTATTAGCACAAAATTACACCAACCCAGGAGTTCAGGGCCCAGTAATAAATTAAGGCACACATCAGGCTAAGGGGTAGCATGCCCCAAACTTCCTGAGCAAATCCTGAGGGGACTGGTGGGTATGAGAGTCCCAGAGGGCCTTTCCTTCCAGGTGAAAGGGGGAAGAAACGGGTGTACATAGGTTGGAAGACTGCCTTGTGGACACGTGGAGGTGGCCTGATGCTTTGGATCTCTGGTATCCCAAAGGCCAGCTGCAGCTCACTTCTCAAAGTAGGGCAGGTAGAAGAATTGGAAGCCCCGGTGGCCCTTGACAGCACAGCAGATGAAGATCACGTGATAGACTGCAGGGGTGGGCGGGGAGGGGAGGCGTCCGTCTGTAAGAGGGCAAGGCCCCTCCCCACCCACGCCCCACCTCACATCATTCTCACCTCCCGGGACTAGCAGCAGGAAGCCTGGCACAAAGAAGATGGCGCTGGAGACACCTGCGGTAGGAAGAGACGACAGCTCAGGACTAGGGGTCCCTGGGAGTGATGGCTGCCCGGGAAGGCCTCCCTCTCTCCTGGAAGGTGGCTGATTCGTGCTGGGAGTTGGGAGGGTTTGCCGAGGACCCAGGCAGGAAGGGCGCTCACCTGGAGAGGGGGCCACCTCCAGTCCCACGCCGACCAGGATAAGCACTGCACACACGGGGTTGTGGAGGGGAAGGACAGGAGGGGTGAGGACAGGGTCTTCTACAGCCGACACTCAGTCGGGTTCCCACCTGATGCATCTCCCACCTAAACTGCTGTCCCCTGGGCTGAGTACCTCCCCAGGATGCTCACCAAGCTGTGTTTTCAGGGCAGCATACTTGGCAGGCCCTGGGAAATAGCTATGAAATGGGAATTTTTACTGCTGTTTGATATGACCTTTCAGTCCTTCAACAAACACTTACAGAACACCCTCTGCATGCCTGCTACCAAGAATTCCACCATAAAAGGCAGATAGGGGCCTGGCATGGTAGTGCATACCTTTAATCCCAGCACTCAGGAGGGAGAGGCAGACAGATCTCTGTGAGTTTGAGACCAGCCTGGTTTACATAATGGAGTTCCAGGACTACATAAAGAGACCCTTTTTCCTTCAGGGAAAAAAGAAATTAAAAAAAAAGCAGATGGGGGACAATAGCAAGATAGCAAGATGGCTCAATATGTAAAGGAGCTTGCCACAAAGCCCAGCTACTTGAGTTCAATCCCTTGGATCCACACGGTCAAAGCAGAGAACTGAATTTTGCAATTATCCTCTGAACCCACTTGGGCTGTGGCATGTATGTGGACTCCTTCCACCCCACATACTCACAAATAAATAAGTGATAGGTCCTCGTCTCCTTCTTACTGGAGGGACCAACAAGATCCTGAAAGCTATGATTCATGTGTGGGAAGAGGGAGCTTGAAGCGGCTACCTTAAGTCAGCCCAGGGAGCAGTAATAGCCCTGCCAGGCCTTGAGCTAAGCATTTAATGCGCTGCCTTGATAAACTAAAGCATATCCCAGTGGGACACAGGAGAAGCTGTAGCTGTGGCCATCATCACCCAGGCAGAGAAAGAATTCAGGAGAGAGCTAACAACACAGCCAAGGCTGAGTCTGGAAGAAACCCAAGGCTTTCTCAAGAGTCACCAGCACTTGATGAGACTGAACAAGAAGAACCTGGGCTGGAGAAGTCTGGGCCAGGCCTGTTGTCCCAGGCAGGGATATGGCCTTGGGTGGAGAGGTCATACCTGGACCCACTTTTCAAATCCGTCTTTGAGGACTGATGGGGTAGGGTGAAGCCAGGGGGCCTGTGGGGCCAACATGTTCAAAGAGCACCTCAGAAGGGGGTTCATACTCACTCCCTGCCCCTGGCTCAGGTTGCAGGTTCTACTGTCTTAGAGTAAACATCTTTTTCTAATTCCCTAGAGCCCTTAACTGGCTTTCTGGTGATCCTGAGGCTTGGCAGTCACACATGTGGGTCTAAATCCCAGTTTATCTTCCTCCCAGCTGCAAACTGAGGAAGCCCCTGTCCAGCCCAAGCCTGTGTCCTTCCAAAACCAGGGCGCTATCAATGCTTGCCTTGCTGGGTTGAGGAGAAGCTGGCAGTAAATGTCATCAGTGCCTGGCCTGCAGTGGTGCTGGCAAGTGGCAGCTCTGTCCGCTGCACTGAAACACCTAGAGCTGGAGATTGGATTTCTGGCCAGGAAAGACCTAGCTGGCAGGGGCCTTTGACCTTCCTGGAGAAGGAAGGGAAGGGGACCTAGGGTGGCAACCACAGCTGGTCCTTCCTTGTAGCCCCCTATTGATCTCAACCCTGGATGTTCTGGGGGATTTGCATCTCAATTCCATAAAGAAGTCAGAAATATCTAGCTGTGAAACCTGCCTGTGCTGGGCCTCAGTTTCTCCACTGAATAGTGTGGAGTGGAGAAAGGTCCCGGTCAGATCACAGACCCCAGAGAGGAAGAAGCAGGCCTGATACCTGACCTAGTATCCTGAGCACCAGGCCTGCCTTCATGAACATGCCCCTTGATTGCCCTCTCTTGTAAGGTGGGGAAAACACTACTGTGTTGCTCTTCCAGTAGTCAACATGGAACAAATGGAAGCTGTTATCTCTCCATTCTCTGGTCCTCTGGTAGATTAAACAGATTAAATTTAAAAACAAAATAAGCAGCTGGGTGGTATGGTGGTAGTGGTGGTGGTGGTGGTGGTGGTGTGTGTGTGTGAGCACACACCTTTAGTCCCAGCACTCTGGAGTCAAAGGCAGGATCTCTGAGTTCCAGGCCAGCCTGGAACATAGCAAGTTCCAAAACAGCCAGGGCTACACAGAGAAATCCTGTCTCAAAAAAAATTAATTAAAATAAAAAGAGGGGCTGGAGAGATGGCTCAGAGGTTAAGAGCACCGACTGCTCTTCCAGGGGTCTTGTTCAATTCCCAGCAACTACATGGTGGCTCACAACCATCAGTTATAAGATCTGGTGCCCTCTTCTGGTGTGCAGATATACATGGAAGCAGAATGTTGTATACATAACAAATAAATAAAATCTTAAAAAAATAAATAAAAAGAAAGTATGATGGGCATAGTGGTGCATACCTGTAATTCCAGAATATGGGAGGTAGGGGCAGGATGATCAAATGTTCAAGCTCATACTTCACTTTCTGGGCTACATAAGACCGTCTCAAAAGACTTAAAGGGGGGTAATGGAGCTGGAGAGATGGCTCAGTTAAGAGCCCTTAGTGCTCTTGTGGGGGACCCAGGTTTGGTTAGCATGCCATACACTGGCTCACAACCCTCTACAACTTCTGTTTCAGAGCATCTAATTCCCTTTTCTGACTTCAATGTAGACTTCAAGTACATGGTACATACACATAAAAATATTAAAAATAATTTTTAAAACTTTTAAAAAAGGAAATAACTTAAAAAACATTGAAACAGGTTCCAGTTGTAACAGGGAGACCCAAATGCCAAGTGGCTATAGAGCTTGCTCATAGGACGAAGGGAAGACAGAACATCAGGACACTCACCTAGCCCCAGCAGCAGGAGCAGAAAGGAGGCCAGAACTACCCGCCGGTTTTTCTGGATCAAAGGATGCTGGGTCCAGCTGGGTGGCAGGAGAAATGGACATAAGTAAAAGAGGTGAAGCAGGTGAGGAGCCAGGGCTGGCTGAGACAGAAGCAGAAGACCCTTAGAAGCTCAAGTCCAAGTGAGGAGCTCTCTCTCACCTGCAGCAGGCATTGTAGGAGTGCTGGGTGGTACTGCTGATGGTGCTGAAGGACCACTGAGAACTACGGATGGACATGTGCCCAGAATCCCTGAAGGACAGAAGGATGGGGAAGGGGAGAGATGAGGGTGTATGTAGGGACTGAGGCTAAACTGTGCAGGATAGAGGGTTCCGAAAGGGACAAGGTTGGGGGTAAGAGTGAATTACAGAGTGGGGGGGTTGACATTTTAATTGCATCTTATATCCGAAAGGGACAAGGTTGGGGGTAAGAGTGAATTACAGAGTGGGGGGGTGTGTGCTAAGAGAAATAAAAGAGGGCTGGGCTGTGGTGGCGCACGCCTTTAGTTCCAGCACTCAGGAAGCAGAGGCAGGCGGATCTCTGTGAGTTCGAGGACCAGACCGGTCTACAAGAGCTAGTTCCAGGACAGCCTCCAAAGCCACAGAGAAACCTTGTCTCGAAAAAACAAACAGCGAGAGCGAGAGAGAGAGAGAGAGAGAGAGAGAGAGATGAAAAAGGGATGGGATGGTGGGGGCTGAGTTAAAGTGAGGATTCCTAGGAGATAAAAAGCCTGGCAGTAGTAAATTAGAGGCACTAGGTGCTAGGGTAAGGTGACCCAGCTGGACAGGAGATCCCAAGAAGGAAGTAGGGCTAGGAATCCTTATAGGACAGGGCAGCAGTGTGGGGACTGGGCAGGTTCTTGCAGACAGGAGCTGGAGATGTGGGGCTTGGGATGCAGGGTGGGTCCCCACCTGGCCCTGACCTGGTGCTGACTCCCCCATCGGACTCTGGAGAGGCTTGGGCTCCATCCTCATCATTTTCCAGGTTCTGTACCAGAACACAGGGTTCAGAAAGATTGCTGGGTTTGGGCCTTTTCACTTCCCTCTGGGGAGAGGAGAAAAGCAGCCAGACAGCTTTTGCCTAGCATGCCTGGCAGCTGCTCTCCCGGCCCTCCCAGCACAACCGGTTTGATGATTCAGAAACTGAAACCCAGGTAGGAAGTAGGTGGCTGCTGGGGGCTTTGGCACAGAAGTCAGCCGGAGTGGGTGGAGGGCTCTCAGCATGGATCTCAGGAGCAGGTGACTACCCAAATGGGGCTCTTAGGATTTTTGGGGGGACCAGCATAGAGGCTCTTGATTTGGTGTAACAGAGTATGGATCGTCAAAGGACTCTAGGATTGGGGGAGGCTATCTAGGACAATGATTTATGGTGTAGTTGTAGTCAAGAGAGGGGCAAACATATCATGTGTGGGGGACCTCTATTGCTAGGGTGATTCTCGAAACAGACAGGATGCGGATTCTCCATCGGTAATGTGGCCTGGGGCTCAAGGGATGCTGCAAGGACTGGCAAGGTCTGGTTTGGATACAAAGTGCTCCCCAAGCCCCAGAGGTGGTAATGGGGTGTCAGTATCCAGGATGGGTGGGCTCTCCACTGATGCTGAGGTCTGAGTTCCTGGTCCGGGCTTGCGGCTCTCCAAAGCTGCATGGGGACCGAACTCGGAGTTCAGAGAGCAAGGACATAATTCTGGATGAGCAGTCACGTCTGGGGAAAAGTTTCCCGCTCCTCTGGGGTCTCTAGGTAGAGTCCGGAATTAGGGTTCTCTGGGGCCCGGCCTGGGGTCCCGCCCTAGCCCGGACAAGAGGGTGAGATGGGCCGGGCCATTCACCTGGTAGCGCAGCCGGGACTGCTTATCTTCATCAGCCACCTCGAACCTGGCCCGGCGCTCGAAGTGCAGCGGCCCGAAGCGGGCAACCCCGCTGGACTCCGGCCCAGGTCCCGCGTCCTCCAGGGTCAGCTCGAAGGCGTCATCGATACTGAACTGGGGTCGG